GGACAGCAGACTCCGGACAGGGAGAATGAAAATGCCAAGACTCTGAGGCTGAAAGGAACTTCCCAGAATTGAGAATGGAAAGAAGGCCAGCGTGGCTGGAGCGGAATAAGGAGGAGAAGTGGTTGAAGGTTATGTGATGAGTGGGAGGAGTTTCCTCTGGGTTGCCAAAAATGTGCCTCATGAAAGAACTCTGCCAGAATGAAGGGCATTGCAGGGCCTCTCAACCACAGCCAAGAGAGAATCTTGATGTGAGATGTTTTTCTGTCCCTCTTCCTCTAATCTCACCAATACCAGCCTGGATCCTGGAAGAGCCAGAAGAGAGATGAGGTAGAGAGAGAATAAAATTGCCAACCAACCCCTCCTTCCCAACTGCATGAACCTGAGCTTCAGCTGATATCACTAACTTTGATTTGCAGGTGAGATTGAAGTTTGACATTAAGCTGAACTGGACCTTTAACACTGAAAAGAAATCTCATTATCAGAATTGAGGCTTTTCTAGTAGTTGGAAGTAATCCAGAAAGCCAAGGCATCTGCACGAGATGTCTCCAAAGCACAGGAAGTAGGGACCTGCCTGAGCATATCTGAAGCTGGGTAGGAGAAATGTGCAGCCTCTTTGTGACTGTACCCCCTTGAGCCAGCCTATTCCACCAGTGGTACATAGGAACAATGCATATGATCCCCCAGAGCTGAGGCCCCCCAAGGCAGCGAACTTCCACAAAGATAAGAAGGATTCATAAGATTTGGGTGGAGAGGAGGGACCAGGCACTGCAAGAGAAGAATGATGAGAACACAGGAGAATGAAGTTCATTCTCTATTGGATGGGAAGGCTGGAGAAGTCTGGCCTGGCTAGAGCAGATGTTCTGAGATGTGAGAAGCAATGTTGGATAGAACATGAGCTAAAGACAGATGGAAGGAAGTCTTGAATGCCAGGCAATAGGAGTTAGGAGCCTCTCGCATCAAACCTGGCTCTTCCTCCAGATTCAGAACAAGCAGCAAAATAACTTGGTTTGAGCTTAAAGTGAAAGGCTCATCTTCCTGAGCTCCCTTCAAGGGCTGAAATGGTGACCTTTTCCCCAGTCTTTCTTCTCCGTGTACTGTCTAGTGGAGATGATGAGAAGTCATCACTGTGAGGACATTACCTCCTCATCTGAAGCCCTTCACCAGCACTCCTGGTCAAGATGGTACATGTGCAGTGCAAGTCTTCAAGGATTTGGGGAGAGCAGTAGAACCCCTTCTTTTATGCCTTTTTCTCTTTTGGCAAAAACTGACTCGATGCTCACCAATTAGATTAGAGTCATGTCACTGGATTCTAGTCAGGTGGCCAGTACAGGGCTGGCCTCTAAAACATTCAACACAATATTCCACTCATTCTCCCCTTCCAATTTGTGAGACTGAAAATAAAGGACCCTGCGATGGTGGAGACACATGACAGCAAGAATCTGTATCCCTACTCAGAGAGGAGCATCAGACTGGCATCAGACCACAACACGACCAAGAAAGAAACATGTGTTTGGATAAGCCACTGAGATGGGGTGCTTACTCATCATTGCAGTGCAGCCTAGTCTATTGTAACAGATCTATCCACCTCTGACCCCAGTGTTCCCCATCCTCTGATCTCTCTCCCTTCTGTACTCTTTCTGCAGCCACATTGGCCTCAGTCACTTCCTTACAGCAGAGTATTCACCGTTGCAGCAGAGGCAGGGGAGGAAGACCCAAGAAGGGAAGACCTGGACACTTCTCTTCCCCTAGCATGCTATTGCATTGCCTCTCACCCTGGCTGTTACTCTCTCTGGAATACTCTACCTCTAGATGTTCACTCCTGGCTTCTCTTCAGCTGAAATGACTCTTTCTCAGAGAAGGTTGCAGGCACCACCCACCCACAACTTCTAAACACAATACTCTTTCCTGCCTTCATAGCAATACATTATTCATGAAATTATCTCATCTGTTTATTGTCTTTCTCCTTGTAGGATGTCACCTCCACCAGAACAAGGACTAGGTTTTGTATGTTGCTGTTCCTTTAGTGCCAGAACATGCCCACCCCTGCTCAGTAAATAAGCATTAAGTGAATGAATTAATAAGTGAAAGGCTGTAAGTACTTTGACCTCCAGGTTATCTAGTCTCACTCCCTTTACAGATGAGGAAATTGACTCTTTTCCCAGAAAAGAGGAAGCAGAAAAGCAAAGGCAACTCTCCCGTTCTAGCTGTTTCTGGAGTGCTGAACTTAGATGTGATTTATTCAAATGAAAACTCTTGGGAAATTGTTTCGGAGGGATCCATAAAACAAATGCCATTTTTACCTAGAGAATTCACCCAACCTTCCAACCAATTTCAAATATAGTTCTTTAATGCAGATTTGACAAATCTGAAATCTCTTACACAAAGCCATTTATCATCTAATGTGCGCCTGCCCTGCACCACAGTTTAAGTTATAGCTTTTTAATGGGGTAAACCATTTCAATGAAATCATCAAAATACCTTAAACCAAAACTGCTTATAAGATATTGATGAGTTTCAAGCATTGATTCTACCCCTGAAAATATCAACCTTGCCATTGGCATCATGGGTACTTCTAATAAAAGCAGCCAAGGAGGTATAATGAATATCTAATGAACCATTTTGTATGTCTATGTTGCTTCTCGAATTGGAAATAAATCAATGAGCCTTACAAAATGCATATTTTAGTGATATCTCTATAAACAATAATCTTGTTTTTCTATCATGACTTGAATGTCATTCTTTTTATAATATAATTGAAGATTTAATAATTTATTATATAGGTTACCTTCCCGTTTAAGCTCTAGGTTATGTGTGTATACATAATACATATAGGTTGCCTTCCCCATTTAAGCTCTAGGTTATGTGTGTGTGTGTATATATATGTGTACATATATATAGTGTATGTGTATGTGTGTGTGTGTATATATATGTGTGTGTGTGTGCATACATATACACACACACATAACCTAGAGCTTAAACGGGGAAGGCAACCTAGTCCAATGTCTGATTTTTAAAAATTTTGAAATGTCCTTGTATGTAGAAGCTCTATGGGTCCTAAAAGTAAACCAAAATGCTGACATTCCAGGAGCAAACATAGGGGCACATGAATAGTAACTAGTAAACAAGTCCTAGATGCTTCCATGAATATAATACCAGGAGAAGGCCTAGATCCAGTGCCAAGGGCTAAATGAAGACTAACAGAGGCAATAATCCTGCTTCACAGGCACTATAGCTGAGCCCACACTCACCTGGCCGGTCAGGCCAAGGCCGGTCTCCTTGGGCTGGAACAAGCTCCTCTGGGAACAGTGTGGTGTGTTCACCTAGAGACCTCTTCCTGACAAAGGTTTCGGCTGTGTTGTCCCACCCGCTTCCTCAGCTGAAAATGGGAAATGGGGCAAGTTGCTTCCCCTCCTGCTGGCTCAAATCCTATGACCCAAAGCACGGTCTCCATCTCAGCAACCTCCCTTCCAGAGGCCAAATATAGCCATCCCTTTCCTGGCTCGCTAAAATTCCAGTCAGACTGCTGTGCATAGTGACAGACGGCCAAAGAGCATCTCACCAGCCTAGCCACAGCCAAAAATAACAGCCACTTGGTTAGCACAGACTGTGGAGTTTTTCTTGTTTTCTGTTGAGACTTCGTACTGAGTTATTTTTTTGTTTTGGTTTTGGATTTTTTTGTTTTTTTAGTTTGAAAGTAGATAGAGTAACTGAAGAAGTGGCCACACCAACTTCCTACATGAGGTTCCTGGGTTTAGTTAGTTCCAGCAGTGATGGGTCATGACCAGAAAGGTACTCACCTCTTAAATCTCCCCAGCCACCTACCCAAAAGGAGGGGCTGATAAGCGCGTTTTCTCCCCACTCTGTCCAGCAGTGCCTCCTGCACACCCCAGGTCATGCTGGGACCCAACCACCATGCTACATTTTCTCTTGGGTCTTATGGAAGGAAGACTGGGGGAGGCTCTCCTGTGGGCTGGGTGGGGACATTTCCAGACTTGCACTCATGATGCTTCTGGGCAGTAGACAGGCCCCAACCCCAAGCTGTTAGTCTGGTGCCCTCCACAAGTTCTAAAAGGCGTTAAATTATTAATTTATTTCTTTAAAAATACACAGTGCTGAACAACAACCAAGCCCACTTTTGATCTGCATCATGACACACAAGGCTCTTGTCAGCCAGGTTTTGTACAGGCCAACAGACACATCTTATTAAATCTTACCTAGCCGGTGACATGAAACTGGAGCATGCTAAAGAGATTTAGGCTGAGAAAGATGATTTTCTTCTCCATACCCTGTTTCCAAATGCAATGAATAATAAGAAATTTTGCAAAAGTGTAACATTCAACTGTTGGAACATCTTTGTACTTTTGTTCTTCAAAGTCAGAATGTTTTCTGGAATTATGTTTCTACCTGAGGAAAAAAAATACTCCTTCAATTTCTACATGTGCAAGCATATCACACAGATATATCTCATTTAAAAAAAAGTTGTATGCCGTCCCAAGACCAATAAATAATTTATGCATTAAATGCATTTATCAGCTCTCGTGTGTGTGTGTGTATATATGTATATAATCTCCTATGTGTTAATGTCAAAGATGTCTTCTATATTAACGGAAAGCAAGCAACCTCTTGGGTGTTTTACCACCATGAAATTTACTTTGTATCTTACCCATCAAATGAGTGAAAAGTGAGAACAGGTCCCTGCTCTTTACAGAAAACTAAGTGCTAGTCTACAACAGAAGAGGAGTTACAGTAGAAATTTCTCATTGCATATCTGCTGAAATTGCTCCCCTCCCTTATTTTTTTTTTCCAAAGAAGGTCTTTATTACTCCAGGGCTACTTAGATTGTAGAGGGAATATTTTTTTTTTATTTCAACTTGTTCTATATAAGTTGCCTTTCCTTTGCTTCCCACTTTGAGTATTTATCATGCTTGTCATTAAGAACTGCTTCTGAGCCCTCGCAGTGCCAAGCCTGGGACCAGGTGCATGCGTTTGGCAGTCCTCACCTCCACTGCCATCCACAAGCTCCAATTTGGATTTAACCGTGGTCATCATTCACACCCTCATGGCAGCAGGATCTAGGGGTGCCACCAACATGATGACAGGCAGTGAGCATGAGCACTGGCAGCAACTGCTTTCGGCAAAGTCACGTGGCTGCACCTGGCTCCTGCTTGCTGTTCTGAGCCTGTCCCCTCTTTCCACCCATCCTCCCCATTTAGAAGGCTTCTGTGTTTCAGTGATGCCATGAAAGAACCCCCAGACTGATAGAATCTGAGAGGAATGGAACTCAAAAATAATCTAGTCCAACCTGCTCATTTGAAAAATAAGGAAATGGAGGGCCTGAGGGGATAACGTCCTTGGCTGCACTCACACAGGTAGTTGCTGGCAGAGCAGAGACTGGAACTAAGTATTTGAACCCACTTTCAAGGCTCTTTCCACCATACCGGTGGCTCCCAACATTTGCTGGCACAACCCACAGTCAGAAGGAAACTTTACATCCTGATTCACACTTATACACACGTATGCAACTTATACAAACGTTTTACAAAACAGTGCTTACTATGTGACACCCTTTGATCTTTTCTATTGTAGTAGATTCATTTTAAAATATTCTGGAGATTGCTTAACAGCACATAGACTCAAATTGGAACAGTACAGAGAAGATTAGCATGGCCCCTGCACAAGGATAACATGCAAATTTTTTCCATATTTTTTTGTACATTTACCAAATGTTACTTTTCTTTCCAGGGATAACATTTATAGGTATACTTTTTTTTAGTTTGCATTTTCTTAGTTAGATACATCCACTGAATATTTAGGAGGACGGGGGTTGACTTAGATACAGAACAGGGTCCCTTTTAGGTCTAAGCATCATGCTCCTGGTCAGGAATGATCTTCCTGTCTACCTGTCCTCAGATTAGAATGATGTGAAAGACAGAACGATCTAGTAGACAGAATACTGGACTGACAGTCAAGGCCCAGCATCTAGTCCTGGCTCCACAAACTGCTAACTGTGTAACTTTGGGCGAGTTTCCTCTGGGTTCCGTTAACTCATCTGCATGATCAAGCTGTTACTAACTGACAGAGTTCTGAGGAGTAAATGAAATAATGCAAATTAAAGCAATAAAAAGCTCTATGCACAAGACTTGTCCTGGAATAGCAATGATCTTCCATTCTCACATTTCAGAGAAATATGGTATCTAAAGAGGTTTCTGGATTGTCATCAAAACACCTGCATAATGTATTATGAATAAATTTGGTAGATTAAAGAAAAACCATACCCTGAAACTACCTTATTTTTAAATGTGTTTGCAGGTGTTTGAAGAGGAGGGGCTCACTCCAAATCTTGAAGATGTTCAGCCTTGAAAAAGTAGAAGTCATTGTGACCAAAGATGATGCCACCACACCTTTGAAAAAAAGGTGATGAGTCTCAAATGGAAAAACACATTCAAGAAAGGTCAATACTAGCGAGTATGAATGAACACACAGCAAAAATTTCAGATGGAACAGCCATGCCAAGGGCTTGTGGGACAGGTGAGGCCGAGTGAATAAAAAGAAGCAGCCCCAGAGACACTCAAGGTGGTTCCAGCTGCTTGTGAAGGAGGCTTCTTTCTAAGAGGTGGCTGGCCTTGGTTTCGGTGTATTCCAGTTTGGGACTCATGAATTGCAACTAATAAAGATCAAAAAACTGATACAGAAATTGTTTTATAAAACTTTCAAAATGCCTGCAGTGACCTTCACAAGAGCAGAAGTTAGGAGGATCCCTGACAGCCGAGAACATTGTGCGAAGCCCCTCAGAAGTTAGTTGTGAAGCCCTGCTGGGAGATCTTTGGCTGCACGGGGGAGAGGGATGGTGGGGAGGCGGACAGGCATAATCGTCACTATTATGGTATAGGAAGGGCTGCTGCTTCTCTGCCCGAAACAGAGAACACCTGTTTCAGAGAAGAAGGTGTCAGGAAGATCCTAAAGGAAAGGACCCTGGCACAGGCAGAGTGGGTGGAGGTGGCATGGGAGGCGGTGAGTTCTAACTCCTTAAATAGTGCTTTATCACTACTCAGGAACTGTTACAGGAAGCTCAGAGTTGTGTTTCTCACCAATAATCTCAGAGAAATCACTTCAAAAAAGAGACTAAAGAACAGGTTGCAGGTTTCAGTAAAGGGTTCCATTTGACAAGGTATATGACGGTTGATGGTTTGCAGTTGTCATTGTCCATGCCTACTGATAACGTATTTTGTGTTTTTGAATGAAAAGACATTTGTACATTCCTTACAATAATAATAATGTTAAAAAGCTGGTGATGCTCACAAAATCGATTCCACAAATCCCAAGCAGAGTGTGTGGAGGCAGCGCACACTGGAGGCGCAGGCGGCATGAGCAGCCCTCTGCTGTCCCCTCCCCTCTCACAGGCTCCCGCCAGCTGCTCTGACCCCCGAGACACCCACTCCTGCTGCATCCCTCACATCCAAAGGCTCTTCCAGTGCCCTCTGGGACCTTGGTTCCAGGGTAAGCAACGCACCCAAGCTCGTGGGGAGGGTGGAGCACTCCTTCCTCTACCTGTGTCTGCAGGGACTGCGGCTCTCCCCGGTGCTGCCCAGCCTACCCCAGGTAGGGAGTGCTTCATGGCCCCATCCTCCTGGGGACTGAAAAGGGCTTTGTGTCCTTCTACCTGTATGTAAATCCCTCTCTCTCTCTCTCCCTTAGCCACCTGGTTGCCCAACACCACCTGAACCTTCCACTCACATCTTGGGAACTTACCATCTTCTTTTCTGTCCTAGATCTTGCCATCGGCATGGACACTTCAATGTCCCTCCCTGTGGGCAGCACATCCAATATATTTGCTGTCCCTTTCTTTCCCTCCCTCACCTGGTGACACCCCTAACCTGCCAATGGCCTAGAGTGGTCCCACCTGAGGTATTTTCAACCTGTATCTTGATGCCTCACCACAGCCTCCTCTCCTGGGATCCTGGTTCCCTTCAACCCACGGCCCCTGACTTTCAATCTCCCTGAGCCCGTCCATCCCTGCTCTTCCCATTTCCTCATTCTCTCATCCTCCTTTTGGTTTTGCTTCCTTCCCCCTCCCACCTACACTCCAGGGCCCAGCACTTCAGCCCCATTTTTGACAACAGCCCCCTTCCTAAACCAACAGACTATGAACCTGCTTCGTAGTGCACAGCCGGCAACGAAGCAAGACAAGAATCGAGCACATAGCCCCAATATGTTCATAAATAGCATACATTTTACTACTGGGCTGACATTTTCTTCATTTTAAAGTGTATCACAAAAATGGAAAGGCACAAATGACATGATTTTAGAAGGCCAATATAACAAGTATTTCAGTAATTTCTGCCCATTCCCATTGGAGCATTTTATACAGCCCCTGAGGGTGTGTGCACTCCAGTTTAGGGACCATAGCCCTAAACCCTATCACTCTTCTCCCTCTGTCACATCCACCCTACAAAGCCATCCCTGAGCCCGTCTAGTCATGAGTGTCCTGTTCTCTGCCAGGTGGCTAAGTGGTGTTAGAAGACACACTCAGTCCCATGTAACCTCTGGATATACTCTTTCAGCTCAGGACAATGCCACTGAGAGCCTTGAAGGGTCAACAGTCAAGCTGGTCTGCAAGAAAACTTCTTTCATCTTCATCTATTGCCAGCACCCAGCACAGTGCCTGGCATTAGTCTGTGACCATGAATGCATTGATCTGTGCACACATGTAGCATCCACATCACTCTGCCTACGTGGTTACCAAGGCATGAAGAGCACAATAGAGAGAGCCGTGACAGGTCAGGACATCCCCAGCTGGGGCGCATTTAGTTCTGAAGCTGTGTGAGGGTGCCTTACCGTCACAGCACCTCTGTCTGCCCATGGTGGCCCAAGCAATAGACTGGCCCTCAGGATGTGCCTGAGGCAGTTTAATTAAGGCCATTTTGACACCTTAACTATTCCAGAAGGTTGTATGGAGGTGAGAAATAGGGCTCTTTCAATCTTCTCTTTAATACTTGCAGCAACTCTGGCTCAGGGCACAGCTGTAGCCCCTTTTCCTTCAGATGTCGCCTCACAGAAGGATGCTACTGTCAAAGGAAAGGGGTGAGGAGAGTGACAGAGCTTACACAGCAGCCTCCAGTGGACACAACGTAGACTGGATTTGAGCAAGGCCTCCAGGGTAAGCACAAGGAGAGGTGCTGGAAGAGCCCAGGAGATGTGTTTGACCTACCTTCATCTCTGGACATGGAGGGCATCTCTCTCTCTCTCTCCCTCTCTCTCTCTGTCTGTCTCACACACACACACACACGCACACACACAGAGAGAGAGAGAGAGAGACACAGAGACAGAGACACACACACACACACACTTTCTCAGGAAGAGAGAGAGAGAGAGACAAAATTCCCTCACTTCCTACAGTTCTTTCATCTTCTCTTTCTCCCTTCCTCATCCAGTGTTTCTTAACGACTGGTCACGGACTGACCCCTGAATCAAAGTCACTAAAGCCCTGTTATCAATGCAGATTTCTGGCGACATCTCAGTCTAAGAGAATTAGCAACTCCGAAACTGGAGCAAGAGACTCTGCATTTAAACAATATTTTGCCCATTAAAGTTTGAGCACCACTGAAAAACCTCTCCTCTTCTCCTGTGTTCTTCCCAACTACGCATCCCTAATCTGTGACCCGCATCCATCTTGCCACCATTCCCCTCTGCCCCTCCACTCCTGAGGCCATCATGATGAAGCCGGTGGGAAATCCAGTGGAAGGACCAGACAGGAATAAGATCACCTGGGCCTTCATCTTCCTTCACCGACCAAGAGCTCTTCTCTTCCTGTGCTTTTATTTTAATCTAGGACATCCCCTGTCTTGGCTCCTAGAGGCCCTGCTTCATTTAGTTTGGCCTCCTTGCCCAAGCAGAATCCTGGGCAAGCCTGGGAACTTAGTATCCTGAATTCAAATGAAGTTGCCTGGAGGAAACTGAGGGAATCAGGGAGCTAAGGTTTGGCCTAATGTTGATCTATTTTTGGCCAAAGCCACCCTCCACTAATAGGTCTCTACTAATAGACTTGC